GAATCAGTAGTTGATGGATGAAGATATTCAAGCTCACTAGGAATTCTTAGATTCCACTGGTTCCCCCGCCCCAAGAATTCACTTTTATGATGTCATCAGATTCTATCATGCCTTCTTTCCCTTCTCTTCATACATATTTCAAACATATTAGTTCTATTTGATATCTGACTCAACAGTGTTATTTTTATCCAACTAGTTTTTTTATTTTTATCCAACTAGCCGCCCTGAGTCCGCAAGGAGAAGGGCGGGATATAAATTCGAATAATAAATAAATAAATAAATAAATAGTTTGCTCCCCATCTTTTCTTCACAAAAATCCAGGATTTCCAGGTAGACTCCTATTCAGAAACTGGTAAAAATCAAGTGATGTAGTAGTTAGACTAGGACAGGGGAGACCTAGATTCAAATTCATCCTCAATCAAGGATTCAGTGAGTGAATCCTTGGCCAGTCTCTCTATCTCAGTCCAGCTTATTCCACAGGCTTCTTGTGGGAAAAATGCAGAAAAGGTCTGGTATCTATGCAAACTTGAGCTCTTAATGGAAAGCTTGGATATAAAATAAATCCAATGTTTAGTTCCAATCTTAATATTTCATAATGAATAATCATATTTTTGTTTTTAAAAAGCCAGGTATAATATTATATTATTACAATATTCACTCATATTGTAATTAGACACAGTGGCTGTATTATCAGTATGATCTAGATAATAACATGAAAACCAGTTATAAAATAATGAAATGCCTCAGCAAGTAAAGAGGAAAGGCTTCCATGTGTCATAGTTGGCATTCCATAAACTGGTTCCCACTACTTTCTTATTTATTTCCATCTACTTATAAATTGTGTAGGAGCAGTCCATAATGCAGTGAACTTCAGTCAGAAGAAACAGCTTGAAAATTGTGTTAGGGAGGCAGGGCAGGAGAGAAGGAAGGAGAGAGATGAGTTGGAAGAGAATCTTATAGATCAAGACATTGCATTATATTGTCACCATTGAACATCAGCCTGCTGGATTTGGTCCAGCAGTCAAGCCTGCCAGAATCATTTGAAATCAAGATTTTACCCTCTAAATTGCTAGCTGATCACCTTACTTTAATATCAGCTACAAATATAATAAGTATCCATCCCATCCCTTTCCATTCTATCTTTATAATTTATAAATTTGTTGACCAGCACAGGCTGACAATGGAGCCCTGCAGGACTTCAGTTATTATTTCTGTTAGAGTGATGCAGCACCTTTAACAAGCACAATTATTCAAACAATTGCAAATCTTCTAGACCACAATACTCTTTAGCTCATTTTATCCAAACAAAAATATCATCAGAGACCTTGTCAAAAATGTTAGAGGTCCAGCCTCCATGTACCAGTCTTTGTCAAGTCCCAAGTGAGATCAAAGTACATTGCAACTGTAGCCATGTGTCTTGAGAATTTTATGGCATAGGTAGGTATATTTTTTGGCTGAGGAGCCCTGTTAATGCTTGGCTAATAAAATGTATGGGAAAAAAGGAAGGCACAAATAGGTTCAGCAGTACATTGGTCAGGCAAACATACTGTTACCATTTATATACGTTACATATATATGCATTTCCATTTTGAAATATATCTTCTTTCCTGTTCTGTCCCCGTTCCGACCCACACACCCAAACAGCCAGCCGAGGGTTAAAGACTTCTCCAGACACCACTTCACAGATAAGAAACTTGG